TTTCTTTCTTTCTTTCTTTTTCTTCCTTCCTTCCTTCCTTCCTTTCATTAATGAGGCATTTGCCAGTCCTCAGTTTATAGTGAATTGTAAATAAAAAGATGCTAACCCTGAATGAGTTTTTACCTATGTAAAAGTTCACTAAACTGTACACAATTAGTGCACTTTATGTATGCTATCCTTTATAAGATGAGAGAGAGAAAGAAAGAAAGAATGTTGAGGCTTTTAAAATAAAATTTTTCTTATTTCTTAATTAAACGTTTGGTTTTGAGTTTTAAAAAATATGTACACTAAACATTTGGTAATAATTTCACAGTATTTTTGTGTCATTAGGGGACACACCTTAACCTTATACAGAGCTGTATGTCAATTACATCTCAGTAAAACTGGAAGAAAGAAGTACTAACAACACACACCCCACAAGCCCTGGCATACACACCTCCCATAAACACATGCCTATGTGCCCAATGTAGTCATATGCCCGACACATTTGTGTACAACCAACCCATGTGCCTACACCACACACTCAGACACCACACTCACACACACCACATACACATGCCATACACACTCACTCCACTCAAACCACACGTACACCACACATGTCACACGTACTGAAACCACGTGTTGGCAGCACTCCCACAGTGCACACGGGGCACATTCACAACTCACACAAACACACACCCTTGTGTTTACAAGGGCGACTCCAGCTCTTGCCTCCTGTACAGAGACTGGAAGGCGTCATGGTTGTAATTTCAATATAAGACTTAGCTGCAAGCTAGAACGAGGGGCAGGGGCAGGGGGCATGAATGGTGGGGGCATGGTGCAAAGCCACCTCTTCCCGCTTCTCACATTCAGCCCTCACTCACTGAGTTAACGATGCTTTTAAGACCACTGAATCCTGTGTCCACTCCAAATACGTGATCTGGGCTGCCTGCAATTTCCAGTATCTGCAAGGGAGAGGAGGTGGCTTGGCCCACAGCCAGGGGTTGAGGACCCAGCAGGTCCCATCCCAGGAGACACGCTCCTGCCTCCTGCCATGTTAGACCCCAAGGGCCACCGCCTGGCATCTGCCAGCAGCCCATCGTTAGGGACCGGGAAGCCCCCCGCCCGCACCTCCGTCTGTAGGTCTACACAACACTCGTTGCTCATCTGCAGTGGCTGTCTGCTGTCTGAGCACTGGGCAGGGCAGAGGGCCATCCTCGGGGTGACCCTGGACAGCTGCCTTGGAAGCTTTCCCCAGCTGGTTCACCTGTTCTGAATTCCCTGGTCTCTCTGATAGTCATTTACACCCACGCAGTATACAATCACCTCCAATTTCCTAGACTTCTGAGTCTAAGAGAAAAAAGCGTCGAATATAATTCACCAAATACATGGAGCACAAAGCTGTTAACGATGGTCTGGGCTCACTTCTTCCTTAGTGTCTTCAAACGCCTGTGGCTCCAGATTTCCATCGGTCAGAGAGATAATCCTGGAGGCAACCTTGTTTTCTGCAGAAGAAGCAGGGAGCGGTCTGGTCAGCAAGGCACCGGAGGGCCCCGCCTCAGGCCGTCAGGCCCACAGCGCTGCTCCCCACACCCCCTCCCTGGGGAGAGGCCACCCGACCCAAATACCTGCCATCCAGAGCACCTGGAGGGAGAAGGGCTGAGGCCCAGGACCCACCTGACAGATGAGGAGGCTGAGAGCGGCTCAGAGCTCTTCCTGGTGAACCCTCACTACGACCAGATGGCACAGCCTTGGCCCTGAAAGGCCGCTCCAGCGACCTCCCTGGACGAGCACCAGCCTTTCAGGTGAGCAAAGGCAGGAGCTGGGCTCTGGCCTGGGCGGCGCCTGCGGCCTTTCCTGCGGGCTCTGTGGGGCCTGCCGTTCAGGACTCGAGGTCAAGGTGCTTGGACAGCAGCCCCCGCCCAGCTCCCTGCCTCTCCCTGCAGGCCACGCGTCTCTCCTGACAAGAGCCACACCCTGCAGTCCAGGTGCTGAGGGTTCAGGGCCGAGCACAGCCTTTCCCACTGGCGGAGACTCACTCATAGGATGAGTCAACCCGAGGGTGGAAGCTGAAGGGAAAAGAGACGGAGCTGGAACTGGGTGGACACAGGTGTGGGCAGCCAGGGGACATCAAGGCCTTTGTTCCCTCAGCTGAACCCTGTCTGCTCGTGGCCCCTGGCTTTTCCCTTTTCTGTCTCATGCAGCCCAACCGCAGGTCAAGCACCTCACGTCTAATAAGAACCGTCTGGTTCTCAGAAACCTCCCTGGGGGTGGCTTCATCCTCACTGCGCAGAGGAGGAAGCTGCCACACAGAGAGGGCGAGGACCTCGCTCCAAGAAGCAGCGCTAGGAACTGGCCGCGGTGGGTCTGCGCCAGCCCCTGCTGCGGCCCGGGCCTGGCTCTGTCCCACCCGAGCGCAGTGACGGCAGCAGGCGACTTACCTCCTGAGTTAGTTTGTTCCATCTGCTCATTCGCCTGCAACAAAATGAAGGAATGTGGGTGGAGGGCAGTGAGATGATCCCAAAAGATTCTAAGAACTTGAAAAAGCAGAATAAGTTCTCAGAGCTGTAGGGTATGTACCTTTTTCAATCCTTCACGCATGTTGGTGTCTCCTGTAGGCACTACCTTCTGAAGTTTGGTAAGCCCAGGGTGTATTTCTTGTCTGAAAAAAAATCAGAAAAGAGGGTGGTGGAGAAATGAGGGTTGACTGTTACATCACAGCACAGATGTCCTGGCGCCATTCTGCCCCATGCAGACCTGCCTGGACAGAAAAGGACACAAGTCACCCCGTCATGACCTTCCTGCCCACGTCTCTGACATGACAGGCCTTGCTCAGGACTCCTCTGCCCCCTGTTTGGTGAGCGTGGGGGATGCTGCTTTGCTGGCCCCATGGGAAGGGTCTGGTTTCCAAAGTGCTCATCCCTGTCAAAGAAAGGTGACCTCAGGGACTCAGCAAGGGCACTGCCTTGACTGTCCGTGGTGAGAGGGGTCACCCGGGGCCGTGCACCTGGGAATCCAGTGCTCACAACGTGACTGGTGAGGGCACATGGTCCTCCAACAAGAAAGGCTGAGTTTGGAAAAGGTCGTCCTGCTGACACCCCTGCCCTTTCCCATCAGCCCCTGCCACAGACCCCTGAGGTCCACTTGGTCCCTCCAAGCCACTTCCCCTTGGGATTCGTGTTAAGGAAGTGGCCAGGCCGCTTCATTAGAGTGCTAGGGCTCCTGGACTTCATGTGCCCCTGGAGAAAGAGACAATAGGCTGGAAAAGAGGCCTGAGCACCATCCACGCAGTGACCCCAGGCTCACCGGGATGGGCTGTCGGCCTGTATTAAAGCAGACAGCGAGGGATGGGCTGGGACACATGAGGTGGGGCAGGGGTTAGGTCAGGCTGATCCAGTGTGTGGACTGAGCTATCACAGGAAGACTAAGGGGCTCTCACTCTGGGCCGAAGAGATGCCAAGTTGTGGTGAGATCCGAGGGCCCCGGGTCCTGCCCGGCCTGACCCAACCCAGGAGTGCAGGAGGCCTGAGACCCAGGGCCAGTGGAGGCCAAACCCAGCTTTGCCCACCTCAGCA